ATATATGTATGTATGTATGCATGTATGTAAATATTTCTTAAATATATACATGTATGTGTGTGTATTTAAATATACATATACACAGCACACACACATGTATTATGCAAACACAAACTTTTATTTTTATTTGGATCGGTTTGACAGCCCTAGAAAACATTAATCATTGAAAACATTTAATTCACAAAATTCCATCTTATTGACTCCTTAAAGCAAACCTGAAATCTTTTCTGGGAAAAGTCCCTGAGTGAGCGTACATCATTAAAAAAAAAAAATTCTACTTGCATTCATGTGGTAAACAGAAACTCAAAAATGCTTGCCTGACTCGCAAGAACTAACCAAATTTGTTCTCGTGCCACACAAGTACAGTTGAGCTTATGTTTACCATATTTGATGTGCTCCATCCATGTGCAATGATCACAATGTTTATATGTAAGCATAATTTACATCTGTTCAGAATATAAATCAATCATGTCTACTCAGAAGACTTGGATTACACGGCTCATTTTATATGGATTACTTTACAATGTCTTTATGAACGCAAAGTTGTGGATGAATGGACTTTCAATGGATAAACAAAAATCTAATCTAAAGTAAATTATGACAATTTTCATTTTTGGGTGAACTATCCCTTTAAGGTAAGAGTAAAGTTTAAAAATATTGCAAAACCTGACCTAATGTATATGGGTCAAAGAAGTTATGATGTCCGCATCAAAAGAAATTTACAAAAGTGATTTTATGTCCATAGAAAGCACATTAAATGTAAGTAAAGTGTCTACTTTTAAGGTTTCAAATAAGTTTTTGGAGAATAAAATGTTAAAATTTGGTTGAAATAGTGTTACATTGTCATTCAGTGTAACACAATATTTATGTAAAAATTCAAACAACATGCTTATTCTGACTTGTACTTATTAAAATATATAAAAGAATAAGGGAGCATATTAAATTTGATTGTCTTTTAAATGAGTAAAAATTCTTACTGACAAATGGGCAAAATCTAGGATAGTGGAAAATTTTAAAAATGTAAAATTACAACTCATTAGTATTTGGGGTGAAAGTAATTAGTCTTTTAATATGTCATAAATTGATTTTTGTTGTAAATATGCCTGACAAGAATGTTACACTGAATGACATTTTAGTGGGTGCCTTCTGTACGGACCCATATGCATTTCCTTATTAATTCACATATTTTTTTTTTTTTTTAAATCCATGAACACATTGTGTAAACTACCCAGAAACACATAACCCTGTATATCCAACATATGAAACACAGTTAACATAATCTGTCTAAACTATGCAAGTCTTTAAAAAGCCCTCTGATTTCTAACTTCAAAATTAATCAGTCTACAGAGTTCATCATTATTGAGTCACTGACCCTTTTTCTTTTACCACATTACCACGGTAAGACAGCCACTGAAAGTGCATGTCACAGGTTGAGTAGTGAGACGTGCTGGTGTTGATGGAGGTGGGAGGGCCAGCTGGAGTTGCAGCGTGGGTTGACATGAAGGGCTGCTGGGCGGGGGTTTTCTGTTCAATTCATTTATTTGAAATAATACCACCACACACCCTCTTATTCACTATAAAACCTCTCACTATTCTGACCGACTTCTTAAGCAGAACATGGGGAAATTTTTAGAGTACCATGTATTGCCGTTTCGATATATAAAATCTTTATCTTATTGTGAAAAGCGTAGGAGAGACCGCACCGTTTGAGCATGTCTCCATGTTTACCCCCAAAGGGGTGAATATCTAGCGATAGATTCCATTCCGCTGGGTGTTCCAGACATACAGATGGCTATAATATGTCACGGACATTACATGTCAGTCTGGCTAAAGCATATGCTTTTTATTTTTTATTTGTGGGAATCCCCATTACATTGCAAACATAACAGTACGGTAAATCATCAGTGGCATTAAGACAACCATCAAAGCCTTTCATAAAACAGAAAACCTCATCTGCTGATAAAAGAACACGTTTAAAGTCACAAAATGCAGATTTTCACTCATGTGTAATTGATATGAATCAAGCCAACACTGTGATAAACAAAAATGATTTCAGACCATCCTGAGACAGAAAAGGTATTTGCCAGGTTGAGTAAGTAGACACATATTTCCCTGTAATCTCAACACTTTGCTGTGCGCTGTTATCAAAGCAAATCCCACATATCTGGAAGAGACAGAACGATAACAAAAAGAGAAGCACAAAGAGCCACTTTCTCTTCAACCAAACCACCAGGCCTTTCACACAAAGCAAGCAGGTCTTGAATTGGGCTGGAAGCAGCACAGATGTGCTCCGTCATGCAGGCATCTCCGCCAGCAGGTGCTCTGTTTGTCACTGCTATTGTCTGCTTATCTACTTCCTCTCAGGAGAAACCAAGACCGCCCCTGTTTTGGCTGTGGATTTCATTCATGCAACCCTGATTTGTCCTTTTCTTTCTTTCCCTATTTCTCATCTCTTCTGTAAATCTCGAGATGTTAAAAGATTTGTTTTCCTCTAATGTCTTTGCCTCTCATCTTTGATTCCAACCTCCTGTGAGAGATAAGTCTAAACTGCAAACACGTTTTTATCAAATAATGTGTGTGTGAATTATTTTCAGCTCACCTTCCACACATATGGCAGCAGGAAACAGCTCCTTCAGCAGGTCTCCCAACGTAAGCGTGTGGCCTTCAGGAGACACTGGTCGGAAGAGCTTCTGGATGAACGGTCTGTCACTCATCGTCTAAAATGAGACAAATATGAAACCCATTAGACTGATTATGTTAGTAGAATCACAGTGTAAAGTTCTCAAAAAATGCAGAATCTGAATTGTGTCACTGAAGAATGTTGAAGAATGCCTATTCACTTTTATTTGGTGGACAGTTTTAGTTTGGTGGACAGTTTTCACGGTATCTGTTTGTATTAGTGATGCGTGGATCAGGGTTATATCTACGGACATATCCACAGGTGGGCATAATAGTAATAAAAGTATTTAAAAAATAACATTCTGATTAATTGCAGGTGAGTCATGGGTGGATGAGACAAATTGTTAATAAAGGAAATATTAACTACATCCTCTAAAATGTGAACATGCTTAAAACTTAATTATTAACTATTGCTGCTTAATTATCAAAAGTATTAATGTGATAAAGAAATTTCACATCACCATTTCACTTGTTTTTGACCTAACAGCCTACTCTTCACATAACAGGGCCTGTAGGTGGCACTTGGTCTATATTTAACCGACTATGATAGTTTCATCATAGTCAACAGTAAACGGTATACCAGTATGAAATATGTAAATTAACAGTAAATTAAACACTACTTTCAATTAAGGCAACTACTATTTTAGCCATTTTAGTTTGTTAAAAAAAACTGAAAACAGACAGTGTCTACATAGTTTTTAACCAATTTATGAACAAGACTGGGAAATTACCACTCCACTTCATTGTCATTGACAATGAAATTTGAGCTTGTTTGAGCAAGACACATGCAACGCGTAATGGCAACAACATCTCAGATTGACAGATAAGTTAAAATAAACCCGAATTTTCAGACTTTTGAGCTATTTGTTACTGTTTTGTACACACTGTCATATTAATTATAATTGGAGGGTGGATGATTTATTTTTAACAGCAGAGTGAGGTTACAGCTGATATGCGCATCTCTAGTTCGCATATAGTCTATTTGATTTGTGACTGTGTATCTATGCTTCGTAAGCTGAAATTATGAAATACTAAAAATGTTGATAACATAAAAAAAAAAAAGATTTTGAATGATTGTGCTTGATAGGTCAATTTACAAAAGTTGTGTTTCTGGCAGTTCCAAAACAAATATCAATAGAATCAATAGAAAGTGAAAAGTTCCGAAAGTTCCTCGTCAGCATGAAGTGAACATTCTGTTCTCTAAATGCACTGATCCCAATGTAAATAATTCATCCATGCATTTTTTTATTTTTTTAAATCCACCACTTTCTTACAAATTAACATTCGAATCAAAAAATATTAGATAAAAGTCTTCAATCTACATTTTTTGTTTTCTTCTTCAATAATGTGTTTCACTCGGATATACATTGCAATATGCAAGAAAAGATTGCTACTTAAATTCAGCATTTTTTGTATTATTTGCTTTTGCTAAATTGTATTATCTACATTGGCACAAGCCCATAATGGTCAAATTTAAAATACAATTATTTTAACTAAAACAGTTTTATTTTTTTGTTAGTACAATGGAAAGTGAGAATGAGGTTTCTTTTAAAAACAGGACAGGCTTCATGATTTACTCTGAAAAAAATAAAAAATAAATAAAAAATGCATTTTATAAAAAATAATAATGTTGTTTATATTCATGAAGAGTTGTTTCAGATGATGTGTATATATTCAGAGTATATACTGGAATAAAGTCCAGTGACGCAGATATAGCACACCCTAACACAATGACTACACACACCAACCACCTACACTCAAGTGAGTACACTTTTCCTTTGAGCTTTCTCAATTTCCTTTTCTTTTATATGTCATCTTTAGCCAGTCAGCATACATGAGTTGGGAGAAATGGCATCTATGTCATTTCAGAGTACCCACTTTTCACATCTATTATGGAGCGTTAACGACACATAATTCATTTGTTAATATCTTGTCAGTTAGCAGCTGCTTTAACCCACACCTAGTTGGGTATAATGTTGTGAATTGCTGAATAAGATATTGAGCGGATTAACAGCCGGCAGTCACTGCTTAGTCTTTCCTTTGGCTTTGAGCGAGCGAGCGAGGTGTCGAATGCTGGACAGGATCCAGTTTTCACACACAACTTGCATGTGGTCAGTGACAGAGGGTATCATTCTGTAAGATCTGGACCTGTGGTGACAAACAGCGGCCTGACAAACAATAGGAGTCAATCTTGGTGCTGTGAAAAGGAAACTGGTGACACAACGGCTCAGGTAGTCCAGCTGACACCGACACCCCCAGGTTTTAGGAAGAGAAGGTGTCTCAGGATGCTACGACCTCGATCAGGTTACCAGAAAAACTGACTCACTGCTCACTTGCACCAAGATCATCCCCAGAGTCAGAGAAGAGAGAGTGTGAGAAGTGACAGCTACTTCGTTGCATTTTTAAACGGCAGCATTAATTATTGACCCCAGCATTATCCAAAAGGCTCCTGATACTGATGAGAAGTGTGATACTCTGGGTGCCGACACTTTCTTTTCAACTCCCCTGACACCCTAGCTGGCAAACCAGCACATGAACCACACAACAGACATCATTAGCCTTTCTCCAAAAGCAAGAGGCCAGAGAAAAGAGATGCTCTCAGGTCTCAGAGCTCATGATCAGAGGCTAGGCTATTCTTTAGAGTATGCAGATAATTATAGGTTCTTTAAGCAATAATCGGAGTGTAAAACACAAAGTAAGTCGCTCAGGGAAGCAGGTACCCCTGAGCCTTGCCTTAATGAGATGAGTGGTAATAGTAAATTAAAACAACCATGTCATTTAAATATTCAAACTGTCAATACAAAGTCCAAACAATATTAATATAATCAAAAAGTGAATCCGGCGAAGCGTGAATCCTTATAAGGCACGGAAAACAAATAAGGATTCCTAACACCGTGTCTACACTGGACGCGAGCGGCGCGGCAAAATACTATAGAACCACTGATCTATAATAGAGATTCATTATATATAGATCAGTGTATAGAACTTATTATAATCAGTGATGCTGTCTACACTGGATGCGGCGCAGTGCGACATGACAAATCCCCGACAGTAAACTGCTGCCGCATTCTATTTATGACGTGCTGACACAAATTTCAAATGATTTTCAAC